CATTGAACGGGGACAAAGGAATGAACGAATAATATTAATAACAATAAGAGAAAAGTAAGGTATTTCCAAGAAGAAGAAAAATATGTTACTGTTTCTATTTGTTTTGGCACTCGTGCTACCTAGTTGCACCGCTTTGGAGCCTTCTTATGGTGTACAGGACGGTCTTTTGGAACGCTTTTCTACACTGAGGCGTGAAGAGCCTTTTCTTTGTCTGTGTGGCAATGCAACAATTATGGGTTACCAGGTTAATGACGATTATTGCGATTGCCCAGATGGGAGCGATGAGCCGGGCACCTCAGCCTGTACTAACCCAGGGATGAGAGTTAAGTTTCCTGCCAAATGGAACTTCAGGTGCAAAAATCTTGGCTTCAAACCAAAGGAAGTGCCACACAACAGAATTAATGATGGAATATGTGACTGCTGTGACGGTTCTGATGAGTATTCTGGAATTGCCGTCTGCCCCAATGTCTGTGCTGAGGCTCAAGAACGTGAAGAAAAGCTGCGGTTGGAGGAGGAGCAGGCCAAGCAAGCGGGACTTCGTGAGAAGGAAAAAATGATGGTGCAGGTTGCAGTAAATCGTGCAAATGATAAAGTCCAACTTGCAAATGAAACCGTGGAATTAGAAAGATTGAGGAGTGTTGTTGCGGAAAAAGAGCTCAAACTTCTTCCTTTGGAGGAAAGGGAAAAAGAGGAGAAGCAGCGCTTACTTGACGCTTACAAGGCATCCCTTGAGGCTTCAAAGGAAGAACAAGAGAAGAACCAAACAGACAATTTGAATACCACAGTAACTTCGGCTATGAATTGTATTCGATGGAGCCAAACTGGATTTTGTGGCGGCAAAGAGGAAGCACCTCTTAGTGATAAAGGGTGTGATGAGGTTATTTCGCCTTCTGAAGCAGGTTTTCTGTGAGTGTTCTCGAAAAGACGTGGATTCAAAGGTAGTATATGACAAAGAATGTGATCATGCACCGTTGCAATGTTCGAATGTTTGCGAAGAGTCCAGTCGGAGCGATGAAGCATCTAATGCCGATCGGGTTTACATGGATGATGGCTCTTTGTTTGAATTACCTGAGGCAAAGGAACTCCGTTATGAGTTGAGAGAACTTCGTGATACAGTGGATGAGCTTTCAGCTTCTGTAGAGGAGATTCAAAAACGGTTGAATCGAAGTGTCAACACGGAGGATATCATGCGAACTCTCAGTAATGAATGTTTTACGTTGGATGTCAAGAGCTACACATACGAACTTTGTCCCTTTAAGAATGCTCATCAGTACGACAAGGGGACACAGAACGGTCCAAGTCTGGGTAAGTGGGGGAAGTTTGGCGACAATACGTACTCTCTTTGGGCGAATGCAAGCGATTATACTCACATGATATACGAAGAAGGTGAACGATGTTGGAATGGAGCACTACGAACGACTGATGTTCATGTGTTGTGTGGTTCAGAAAATAAACTGACTCAAGTTGAAGAGCCATCGATGTGCAGATATAGTATGGTGTTTCAAACACCTGCTTTGTGCGAATGAGCTATGTCTGAAGAAGAAAGGTGCTGTGACGACTGTCACGAAAGCAGCACACACACACACACATAAGCACACAACATAAGGCAGGAATAAGAAAAGAATTATGAATACTATATGCTTTTTTTCGTATTTCCTGTTTTTCTATTAAATGGCTTACCTGAATATCTAGCTTTTTTTATTTATTTTAGGTTTTGTTTTCATTCTCCTTTTTATGTGCATTGCACATTCACTTTTTTTTTTACTCGTTGGATTAAATTGAGTAGTAGATTCTGTTATAGTGAATCAGGGCGGCGGGATTAGTAGGTGTTTTTAGCATCACTTGTTGTGTATATATATATATATATATATTCCACATCTTCATAGAATTGAAGGTGCATAAAGGAATCAGTTTGACAAATACTATTATGTTGCTTCAGTATGCGGTGAATGGCTTTATACTGGTGCTTCTAATCACTTTTGCGCTTAGCTACCAGATGAAGCGAAACAATGAATTAAACGGTAGCCGATTTGAGTTGGCGGGTGCTTTGCTTGATGCCAAAGGAATGTCTAATGCAGAATTTGGGAAAGATATACAGGCTATCGATGACTTTTTGTCGACATTCAAAGGCATCATTGAGGCATATTATACACTACCATTATCTGGTACGGGCTCATTTATGCATTACGCTATTGATAAGCACAACGCAACGGCCGTGCCTCCCATTCTAGAAATAACCTATTATCATGAATGCTATGAAAAGAGCAAGTGCTCAAAAACTCTTCGTAACTCGTTTCTTCTTCTGGAAGAGGACCCATTGGGACCATTTGCTCATCCGGAATCCTTGATTAATGGAAGCGAAGCTTGTGAACCACGTAGAGATATGGATGGGTCATACTACGTGCCGTGTCGATTGTCTCCAATAGGGCAGCTCTTTGACCATCTCATCGGCGTTAAGCTGACCTTTTCGCTTTATTCGTTGGTGCGACAGCCCGATGGCTCACCAATTCCGAGGGTGTGGTTGGCATCATTTTTATTTGCATTGACTGGACATAGCTCCGTAATGACTATGAAGGCTTCACTGGAATGCATCGATAGACATGTTCCTGAGCGACTTCCTGTAATGATTAGTTGTACATTGTTTCCGCTGGTCATTTTTGGCTTTCTAGTTCGTATTCGTACATTTCCTCGATTTTCAGCCTCTGTATCAGAGATGTTTGGAACCCAGCAAGGCTGCCTTGATGGCGTGCGAATGTTTCCATCACGTTTCCACCGTGATGAAGGAGGCTGGCGTTGGTTGGGCTTCTTATCGGATGCGTTTGTGCTAGCGTTTAGTATTGCGGCAATTGTAAGCCAGTTTTGCCCAAAAACCATTTCCAACTTGGAGTTGACGGTGACGATACTTCTTGGATTCTCTATACTCATAAGCTGCATTCGCTTGGTGTCGATCTTGAGACTCTTTCCAAGTTGCTACATCATCATTGATAGCATTGTGACGGCTGGACGCCAGCTTGCCATGTACAGCGTTGCCGTTTTTTTCATCCTGTTTGGGTACGCCATTTGTGGTCACGTTGTCTTTGGAACCTTTGGTGGCTATTTTGGGACGCTGCCCCGTGCAATCGTCACACTTTTCTGCACGACCTTTGGCGACAACATCATTGACACATTTTTAGTCATTGATCAATCGACGTGCATGCTTCAGATAGTTTTCGCCCGCATTTTTTTCGGCACCTTCATTCTGTTGTTTATATGCACCGTCCTTAATGTGGCGCACAGCATCATTCAGGACTCCTACACGTACACGGTGCGAATGTACTCGTCCTCACGCCGGGAGGGCGGTCGAACACAATACAACGCAGTCGGCGTCAGCGCGGAGGAGTTGGCTGGATTTTTGGAAAAGCTACGGAAGTAAGGACTCTCTCTCTCTATAGATGTAAAATATCTATATAATATATGCCAAGAGAGGAATTCTTTTTTTCCTTTCTTTCCATCTCTTTTTCCTCTGATTCCCGGCTTCTTCTGTAGCAATTAATGAAGTATGTTTGATGATGAAGCAGTTTTTTTTTTGCCTATATTGCTCTTGCTCTGCGTGCATATGTGGATGCGTGCGTGTTTTTGCCTTTACGCCGAGGAAGTTTCAGTTTTTTTTTTCTTTGCTTTTCTTTTCTTTACTCATGCAACATGAATTCACTCTCCAAACTGCATATGGCGTTCTCGTTTTTTATTTTTTATTTTCTTTTATTTGTTGCCCTCTATATATGACCCGTAGTTTCGGAACTGGGCCGAGCCCAATACACGCGCAGAAGCAGGCGCACTTTGTACCTTGTAAGAGGCCAACAAGCACACAAACCTGTGACAAGGGGAGCCACGGCAGAACGGCTCTTCTCTCACGTTTCCTTTGAACCGGAGTCTAGAGGCTTGTGGGGAATTGCTCATGTCGACAGGAGTTGAGGCGTATTGCTCGCCGATGCGGCGTCCCATGAGTCGACGGCCCACGGACCCACTCGTGCAGACGCCGTCGGGGTCGTGGTACGCGGATGTGTTGGACCAGTCACGGACGGTGAGGTCCCCGCTAAGCCCGGCGCAGGCCCGCAGCCTCGCCGTGTATGCGCGACCGGAGGACTGCACGCCCCGGCGCGCCTCGCCGGTTGTGGGCGCCCGTCCCTCCCACCTCCCTGTAAGCGGGTCCATGTCCCCCCGCTACGCCGTGGTCGCTCGTCGGCGGTACCAAGTGATGGCCTCCGACTACGTCGCCTACCCGCAAGGAACGCCGACGCGCGTGGTGACGACGCGTGGCAGGGCGTTCTCTTCCACGTTCATTCGCTGTGGTACGCCGGCATCTCCGGCGCGTCGTGCGGCAACCAACGCCGCTTCACCCGCGGCGACAGCAGCGCATGTGATGCATCAGTCCCTGCTTCTTGACATTGTTGCCGCGCCGCGTCCCGTCTCGGCCCGTCAGCACTACCCACAGCAGCCACAGCCGCCCAATCCGGCAGAGCAGCAACACCCGATGCGGCCTGCCACCGCCGGACAAAAGTTGCGGGAGTGCCGAAGAGACGACGACTCCTTTGCGGCAAGCAGCAACGATCTCTCCAACACTGATGATGGGATTTATGTGCCGGTCAATGTATTGAACCAGAAACCGCGGACGAGCAATGGCGTAAACGGGATGATTGTGGACCAAATGAGGCGGGGTACCCAAACTGAATATGCCCCACGGCGTACCTCGATAACGGCGGAGCATTTTACGCAACAAGCTCCGCAACGGGTTTCGACTCCCGCAGCCAACCGTGCACAACGAGCAGGCTTGTACGGCTCGTTGTATGCCTCACCCACGATGGAGAACAGTTTCCGTGGGAGTTCACCACGCCCTGACTTGAATGCCACGCTTAACCGCGAATTACCCATTCACGAAAGTTTGTGTGCTACTTCGCAGCGTAACACGACGCCTGCCGTCTCCGCGGCTCGCATGTATCCGGCCATGTCGTCGGTAGCTGTGCATCGATGCCTTAATGGCAGCTCTGCTTCAAAGGCGCCACCTCAGCCAATAACTGCCCAAGGAAGCACCACACCAGGCACGACGCCTGCGCAAAGTGTCGACTGCAGCCGCAGCAGCACAGACACGTTGAATCTGCTCACTCGTCATTTGCGGAGAACTTCGTCCATTCGCGATGCATGCTTCTCTTTTGTGTCCTCTCGCCCCCTTGTTCAACAGTTTGTGCAGCGCTGGCGCAACCACTACGAGGAAAACAAGAACGCGTACTGCGAGGGCGGCTACATGACTGTCACGCCGGGCAAAAAGTTAAACTCCCGCTACGTGGTAGTGCAAAAGTTGGGCTGGGGTGAATTTAGTACGGTGTGGCTCACGTACGACACGATGCACAAAACACTCGGTAAACCGCATCAGGCCTTCCTGGCGCTAAAAATTGCCAAGTGTGATAATACGGTCTCGTGGAGTACGCAGTACGAGATCAACCTACTCCGATACATCGGGGAGTACGCGTCACCTGCGGCACCGCTCACCAACCTCGTAGACTACTTTGAGGTTCCTGGACAGTATGGGTCGCATGTATGCATGGTGATGCCACTACATGGCTCCAACCTCCTCAGCATCATTGATCAGATGAAGGCGAAAAAGCGGCAGCGATCTTCGCAGGAGATTCGTCTGGTCAAGGAAGTTGTCGCCTCAATTCTGCTAGGTCTTGAGGAGCTTGACGGGATGGATATCATTCATACGGACATCAAACCAGAAAACGTTCTTTGCTCCTCACCAGACCCAAAGGTGATGGACGTGATTGAGACCTTCTGCCGGCGCAACAAGGAACGCTCCTCCATGGTGCCGTACGAAACGGTGCGAGAAACCATCTCGCACGGGGATCCAAACCATCTTGTGTGTATTGCGGATTTCGGTCTCTCCGTGGCCCTGAAACCCCCCACCGGGGACTCTGCCTCGCACCAATCCAGTGCGTGTCAGTCGTTGTTAAAAAATCTGGTTGGGAGGAAGCGCGAGTTCCCTGTGGAAAAGCCGGGCACCGTGACAAACCTCCGGGGGACAATGATTCAAACCCGTGAATACCGCGCCCCGGAGATTATAATTGGCCTAGACTTTAACACACGCACCGATTTATGGAGTGTCGGCTGCATGGTGTTCGAACTGATTACGGGGGAGTTCCTCATGGATCCCAAGCGTCGCACCAAGAACGAGCGGATGATGGACGTTGAGCACCTGGCAATGATGATGCAGCTCCTGGGGCCTGTCCCAGAGGAGATCATTCGGCTGCGCACCCAGCGAGACCCTAAGCGGCCCCCGCCGCGGTATATCCATCGCTACTTTAACGAGAGTGGTCGGTTTATTTACGCCGACAAGTATCGCCTTTACCCACGGCGACATTTAGACAGGGAGCTAGAGGCATTCCTGCCCACAGCTGAGGCCCAGCGCGCCGCGGACTTCATTATGCGCTGTTTGTCGTCGTATGACCCGGCATGGCGCCCCTCCGTGCATGACATGTTCGCCCATGAGTGGCTGTCGGAGGTCATGGGGCAGCGCAAGCGCTGAGCCTCTCCCGCTCCCCTTCCTCTTACTTCTTCCCCTCCGCGCGGCCCATCCATTGCCTGCGGCGGAGTGGGGGCAGTAGCGGGGGAAGCCAAGAGGGAATCGAAATGAAAA